AAAAATATAGGCTGTAACTTTAAATTAATTATTCCTGTCAAAAGCTACACTTGTACAATTATCACGAGCTATGCAAATAATTGCCTAGCCATAATTGTTTCAAGTATGTACTTAACACTAACTGGTCGTGGGTAATTGTCGATGAGTTTGCAGTGAGCTGTGTGTGATGGAGCAATAACGATAATTCAATCAATATTAAGTGAGAGGCTACTGAAATACCAAGATCTCTGGCATACGAGTTACATTTCTCTATCATATGACTATATATAAATTGCTAATTTGAAAATAACACATAAAAATATTTTTTACAATTAGGAACTTACATTTGCAGTTGGATCATCGACCGTGATGTAGACCGACGAGAGAATTTCAATTTTTTTAATGGGATATATGTGACAAAGAAGCACACAGTCCACCTGATGGTAAGTGGTTGCTGCGGCCCATAGACAACTACATCTATCCTCGATTACGAATCAAAATGCAGATGCGTTGTCGCACGTGAGGACTAAGACGAAATGCCTCGTTTCTAGTAAAACGGGTCTCCGGTTCTCTACACTCACTATACGAAACACAGCAGCATTAAGCTACTACCTATATAATTTACGCTGGTATTATGTGAGAGCGTGGTCCTTCCCCGGTGGAGCCGTACCGTTCGTGCTACAATTATACTACTAATATAACTGCAGCATGGCTCTACCACATATAATGTCCACTGTAAAGTGAAATTTGTCTTTCAAAATTTTATTATAAAAAGGAAAAAAAAAAAAACCTTTTCTCTCTTTTAAAACATCTCATAATAACATTTCCCTCCCCCCCCCTCCCCTTAATAATCCTTACAAATATCACAAAAAATATTAAAACCCCTTTCTTTTTTTTTTTTGAAAAAAAAAAAATAAAAAAAAAATAAATATAATAAAAAAAATAAAAAAAAAAAAAAAAAAAAAAAACCCACAAACAAAAAAATCCAAAAAAAAAAAATTATTATAATGCCTTATACACGCCTTTCGGAAATCCACTTAACGAGTAAGGGCGTTTGTCCACCGCCGCCGTCACCGTCATGTCACCGAGAACGAGATGACGGCACCGAAGTAGCGGTACATACATTTACTTTAACCGAGTGTCCACCGCACATCCGTCACCCGAGCGCCGTCGCCGTATTGTCTTCTGCGTGGGCTGGATGCCCAGCAGGTATCGGGCCTCGGGGTATTCCCCGTTACCCGGACATTCCTCACGGCACACTACAGTGTGCCGGTCCTGGGTGCCTTTGATGGTAAGGCTGTTGTGCTTATAATAGCGACTCCAGTATCTTTCGAGTTATCGCAATAATTGTGTTTAAACACAATTATTGTGTCAAAGTTGGCCTTTCTGCCGCGTTGTGGGATTTACTCGACTTCCTAATCTATATAGGGAGGAATTCTCTTGGATAGGGTCGCTCGTCCGGGGGCCGTGAGTGCAACGGCGCGAAGCCGTTGAGATGTTCATGTGGCCCGTTGTCAGCGCGGTCAAACATACCGCGCGCCAGCAATACAAATGTGCCGGCAATACAAAACACGTATGAACTTGTCCACACACTGCCGTCGCCGTCGCACCGTACACGAGCTCAGTTATTAGTTTGTCTGTCATTAATTATCCTATAGCATTGTAATAAAAATGGCCAAAAAATTTAAATACGATATTTATTCATTAATAGAAGTTATAGAAAGTAAAGAATGTTTGTGGGGTTAAAACCTAGGAAGTGTCCAAAGATAAAATTTTACGTAGAAATGCATGGCGCGATGTTTGTGCCTTTTTAGAGCCGAACTTTGAGGATATGGACCAGAAAACAAAGACGAAATTAGTAAGTACATGGTAGTTTATTATTTATGTTTTTAATTAAGTAATTACAAGTTTAGATTTTATTCATCTGCCAAGGTAAGGAGCCTTCTGGACTTACAAAGTATTCAGGAAAATTATTTCTTATGTCATTAGCGGTACGCCCACCATGCGGTACACTTCCTACCCTTGGTACATCAGTCAGCCCATCGTGCATAATAGACATGAACATATCCTCACCTCTGTAGCCATCTTTTTCACGTACAATATTATGCAAAACGACGCATGCCTTAACTATACTTTTGCTAAGTTTTTTGTTTACATTTAGAGGGCGATGAATTATTCGCCATTCATTGGCCATAATGCCAAATGCACATTCAACGTATCTTCGTGCACGACAATGTCTATAGTTACAAATACGTTTTTTCACATCTAAATGGTTACCACCAAAAGGACGTAATAAATGTTCAGTGAACTGGAAAGCTTCATCGCCTAGTATAACATGTGGCATTCTGTTATTTTGAGATGAGTGCAGTGGAACAGGTGGAGGTGCACTCAACCTGCCTTCAGTGAGTAGTTGATAGAAGTTTGTACGTTGAAAAATTGCGGAGTCGCAGTCTTTACCGTATGAACCGATATCAACATATACGAACTCTGATCTGATCTCGAGATCTGAATCAACTACTGCCAGAAGTACGATTGAGAAATATCCCCTATAATTAAAGTTCATAGTGCCAGATTTCGGAAACTTTTCAATCAGTATGTGTTTTCCATCGACACAACCGATGCGGTTTTGAAAATTAGCTCTTCGTTTAAATCCTTCCGCTATTAATAACCATCGCTCAGTAGTAGGTGCAGCCAAGTGTTCACCACTTAAAATAGTCCATATTTGGTGACATACTTGTGTCACTATTCTGCTTATAGTCTTGATACCCAGTTGGAAGGTATATGACATATCGGTGAAGGTATTTCCACTTGCGAGGTATCTGTAATAAAAGTTAATTGTAAAATTTAATTGTTTCAGCAAGTGCTGTCATGAACAAGTGGAGTAACATTCGAGACACATTTATAAAGTCTCTTAAGACTAAGTCAGGACAAGCTGCAAAAAAAAATACATTTACAGTGATAACCTACAATTTCTACTTAAGACTGTAACACCCGACGAAACTGATTCAAGCATACCAACTGAAATGATTCTGAAAGTCGTCCAGAAAGCCAACAAACATCACATAGTCACCTCGACCAATCAATACCTTCCCCATCCACATCCACATCTACCACGATTCGAAGGGGAACGAAAAGGCTAAATGCGGTCGATGCAGAAATATTAAAAGCTATCCAGGCAAATCCCGTGGAAACGGAATCTGAATTAATTGACGATGGCCTATGCCTTTATGATATCTCTCCTGCCATCCGTCAAAGAATTGAACGCCGATGATAAGGTTGACTTTAGAATCGAAGTTATGCAATTGCTTCGCAGATTTAAAAACCGCAGGCGTTTGTCGTGGTCGAGCACCGCTACACCTAGCGATCATGGTAACTTCCACCAACTGATTTCACCCCAGCATTAAACCCAGCAGTTCACACCCCAGCAAGGAATCCAACTGATTTCACCCCAGCATGAAACCCAGCAGTTTAAACCTCAGCAACAAATACAATCTATTGGAGAATTATTTTCCCAAGATTTTTCTAAAATGTAGGTGTGTAAGTTTAATCTAACTACCTGGGCCCTATTTTATAAAACTAGAAGCTACAGGGTACAGGTAAATTACTGGCAACATTCACGGAATCCGCATTCGTGATTGGTCGAGACTGCGACATCAATGTTAATTTTCCTGTAGAATTGTAATTTGTAGCTTTATAAAATTGGACCCTGTTATTCATACTATCATATAAGGTGACCTGTCATTCATACTATTATTCAAAATAAATAATAATAATAATAATCTTAATAAATATATTAAAATACAAAAAGTATAACTTCCTACACATCTCCGCAAGTAGACGCATGTGCGATTGCAGCACACGCGCCTCACGCCCCCCGACGCTGCTCCCTGCTTAGGGTAATAATACACATTTTACGTCTACCGTAAATGAAATTGTTATACCGCCATCTGTGGAGGTCGTGATATCTTTCTGGGGTTTCGTATAGTCGTTCCTTATGTCATCCACGGTACAAAATGGTATAGTGGATTATCTAAAACAGCCACCACGCGGCTACAAGCAAAATTAATTAAACTTATTTTGTGTCTTAGTAAACTTTGTAATCTCTTTTTAAGCATATTGCGGGCGTAGAGGAGTGTGAGATCTAATATAGTTAGAGTTTATAAAGAAGGAGTTCAGTAATCTTAAACTATAAATTGAAATAAAACATACATTATTTTTGTTTATACTGCCAATGTTAATTACACTGGTCGGCATCAAAATAAGAGCAAAAAAATGTATATATGGAAGTTATTACGTTAAATCCAAATATGTAGTTAGAATTCACCTAGCACGTCTAGTTTCGACGCAATAGCATTTTTTGTTTGCACTAGAATTGTTTGCTTATAGTTGCAGGCAGCGGTATTTGTGAACATTGGTATGTACATGTATTTAGTTGTGTTCTGAGTCTGTCTCTATGTTAGAAAGAAACAACAAGCTATTGTTTACTGCTCTAACTAACTGACATGCGCGAAGCGCGAACGCAGTGATTGTTTTGAACAAGTGAGCGACGTACGTGTGCAAAGTTGAAAAAAAAAACAATATATGAGTTATTTCGTTGTTTTAGTTTTCGTTTGAAAATTTTTGGTAAGTTGCTTTCAACATGTTACTTTTATGGATAAAATTAACCACTGTATACTATTTATTGAATATAAAACATTTTAATATTTTTATTTTTATTGTTTTAGGTTAAAAAAATGCCACGTTCATGCAAAAATTCGTCAAACAATTTTTGTTACGTTTGTGGTAATTTTGTAACAGCCTTACATCGACGAAAGCTAACACCTTCAATAAAAAAGGCTTATCATTTTTATTTTGATATGGAAATAGATAACAGAGAGAAAAGCTGGTTGCCAAAGATATGTTGCAAAACATGTGCAGCATCTCTGAGTGGTTGGCTGAAGGGGTCTAAAAAATCATTGCGATTTAGTCGTCCTATGATATGGAGAGAGCCACAGAACCATATAAACGACTGCTATTTTTGTATGACAGAAATTAAAGGATTCTCTAGAAAAAATAAACACAAAATAAAATATTTCAACCTTCCTTCTGCTCAAAGACCAATTCTACGCAACAAAGAGCAGCCAGCGCCAGTTCCTCCTTTGGGTGATCAAATTGAAGACGTATTTGACATAACAACTTCGCTATCTATAAAATCAAACGAATTTACACCTAGCGGTTCATCTAGCATAACCGGTGAACCACATATTCTCAACCAGTCTGAACTTAATGATCTTGTCCGTGATTTGGAACTTTCGAAATCTAAGGCACAACTTTTAGGTTCCAGATTACAACAGTGGAACCTGTTAGAAAAAGGGACACGAATTTCATTTTTCAGGAAGAGGGATTCTCAATTCTTGCAGTTGTTTTCCAAAGAACAAGATTTAGTTTATTGCACTGACCCGCTAACACTTCTTCAAGAACTACACCTGCCAGAAGACCCAACGGCTTTGAGACTCTTCATCGACTCGTCCAAACTGAGCCTGAAAGCAGTGTTGCTACACAATGGAAATAAATATCAGTCAGTTCCATTAGCTCATACAGTAAACATGAAAGAAACCTAAGAAAACATAAAGTTCTTACTCGATAAAATTCAATATAAACGCTACTTATGGAATGTATGTGCCGATTTAAAAGTAGTGGCGGTGCTGACAGGATTGCAAGGTGGATACACAAAATTTTGTTGTTTTTTATGCGAGTGGGATAGTAGAGCAAAATCGAGGCATTATGTTCAACAAAATTGGCCCTTAAGGTCACATGTAATTCCAGGAAGTAAAAACATCGTAAACGAGCCTTTAGTTGACAGCCAAAAAATATTTTTGCCGCCACTACACATAAAGTTAGGCTTAATAAAAAATTTTGTCAAAGCAATGAACCGGGATGGAGAGGCATTTAAATATCTAAAAACTAAATTACCTCATAAAAGCGACGCGAAATTAAAAGAGGGCATATAGCCCTTAAGAAAAATCTTTAAAGACCTACTGTTCAAATCAAAGTTGGTAGATAAAGAAAGAAGAGCATGGGTAGCTTTTGAAAATGTATGTCACAATTTTCTTGGCAATAAAAAGGCTGAAAATTACACAGAGCTGATAGAAGAACTGCTTTCGTCGTATCATCAACTTGGATGCAATATGTCTTTAAAAATTCACTTCTTGCATTCGCATTTAGATTTTTTCCCAGAAAATCTTGGTGCCGTGTCTGATGAGCATGGTGAAAGATTCCACCAAGACATTGCACATATGGAAAAAACATACAGCGGCAAGTGGACCCCAGCAATGCTAGCTGATTTTTGCTGGGAAATAAATCGAGAAACAGCAGTTAAAATGTATAAAAAAGAAAGCGATCTACCAAATAGTTATCATTTTTATGTTTTTTTTTATATTTCTTAATTCATATTTCATTTTAATTTGTGTTGTAAAAGTCAACAATCAGTGTAAATTTTTTCGTTCTAAAATGTATACATATTTAATATATATATCAATACCGATATTTTATTTAAATGTAAATATTTGAAAAGCTAGAGGTATTTAATTGCAAGCTGACAATCGGTAGTACAATAAAAAATAAAAATATAAGTTTCGCCTCTACACGTGTCGTATTATCGTCGATGGTGTGTCTTGCCTGGAATAGTGGTGTTGAGAGTAGTGGTGCTTGGTCTAGTGGTGACGGAGTTAGTGTATGCAATTGAGGGAGGGCGGGAGGTGCGCTTCAATCCAGGTAAGACACATCATTTTATATGTTTAGCTAAAAGTTGCAAAGAAATTTATATTTTTAATACCGATTTTTTATTATAATGTGATATCCGAAAAGTAACGCCTATTCTATCAACTAATCGGTAGTACGTCAACAACCGTCCTTCTAAACACCAACTAAACTAAACTTTTAACTTTGGTGATCTTTTCTTTCTGACGTGCTCATCAACTAACTACAACTCTACTTCTTAAAAGTGTGTGGCCTTACAAACCATACATTTTATGGTCCTTCGAGCCGGACATAGCAACCATCGGCCTTACAAACCATATATAGACATCTGTTTTATGTATTAATTAAATCGTATTGATTAAATACTCTGTTTGATATAATTGAGCAGTTGAGACCATTGATAATACGTATAATATATACTAAGAGTTAAAAGTGACACTTAAAAATACAGTTTTCTTTATATACAAACATAAATATTTAATGAATTACGGTCGAGTTTCGACCACTGTACGACTAATAGCAACGACTACACATTTGGGCTGTGTAGCCGTTGGACTTCTAGTATTTATAAATCTGTACCACAATCTATAAATATCTGAAGCACTAAAGCTTAGGAGAGAAGGATGACACGCTTTTATCGCATGCCATTTACCGCTGCTGTATGTAGACTTGTGGCGAGCGAGCTCTCTCTAACGACGTCATTATATCGTCGAGAGCCAAGTGCGATAAAGGTTAAGATTTTCCGATCAACAGAATTTATAAGAGTTGTTTGCACTAACTCTGCTTTTGGAAGAAAACCATTTTTACGGATTTCATCTCGCTTAAATTTCCTTATTTTTTTATAGAATAAAAGTGAAAAATGAGCGCACAGTCCACCTGATAGTAAGTGGATGCTATGGCCAATTGATATCTACATTTTATCGTCGATTAAGAATCAAAACGCGGATGCGTTGTCACCCCTGAGGACTAAGATGGAATGTCTCGTTTCCAGTAAAAATGGTCTCCGGATCTCTACACTCACCATACGAAACACGGCAGCATACTTTACGCTGGTATTATGTAAGAGCGTGGTCCTTCCTGGTCGAGCCGACCCATTCGTGCTACAATTATACTACTAATATAACTGCAGCATGGCTCTACCACATATAATGTCCACTGTAAAGTGAAATTTGTCTTTCAATCTTACTTTTTTTCGTTAGAGTTTATGCTACGTGCTTCCATCCATTCATCCATTACAGCCTATAAAAGTCCACTGCTGATAACAAGCATACCCCATAGATATCATAATAGGGGAATTTTGCCATACTTGCCACACTTGGCAGGCGAGTTGGCAACCGCAGCTTTTTATAGTTTTATAAAGATATAAAGTACCCACGGGTACGATGTGGAGTAGTGGATGTTCTTATACTGCCACTACATGTTTACTTGCTTGCTTACTTTGTTTTGTTACTTACTTATCGTATATGTATGAATTTCTGTAAATGAATTATTAGGTAAAATGAGGTCAAAAAGATCGAACACTGTATACCTCGCTTTTAAATCACTTGACATAGTTTTAAATTGCGTTCTGCCCGACTCTATTATAACCTCATTTGGGTTGAGCGCTGGCTTGATACAGGCATTGGAGTTATTTTATAGGGACTCTAGTGCTTGTGTTAGGACTAGACCCCGTTAACGGGGTCTCGTCGGACTGGTTTGACATCCATAAAGGTGTCAGACAGGGCTGTGTGGCTTCCCCGTGACTGTTCAACCTATTTATGGACAGTTGTTTGCAAAATTTGAAAGTTGCAGAATGCGGATTAGGAATGGGTGAGTTAACCGTCAAATGCCTTTTGTACGCCGATGATCAAGTTATCCTTGCATCGTCGGCGGCCGAGTTGCAAATGATGGTTACATTAATGAACAAATCATTAAAAGAAAGGGGTATGAAAGTGAACGCAAGTAAGACGAAGGTTATGGTTTTTGAAAGAGAAGAAAGTAAAACGATATGTGAAATAAGAATAGAAGGGGAGTTGATCGAGCAAGTAGATGAGTTTGTATATTTGGGCTGCGTATTTAGCAGGGATGGGAAATATGATAAGGATATAGAACGACGAGTGAATGCGGGAAATAGAGTAAATGGGGCCCTGCACTCCATTGTGAAGAGTCAAAATGTGTCAAAAAAGGCACGTATGGCAATTCCCAATGCTGTGTTGGTCCCTACTTTAACGTATGGTAGTGAAAGTTGGGTGTGGCAGAAGAAGAACGAGAGTAGAATCAACGCAGTAGAAATGCGGTCGTTAAGGAGTATGTTAGCGCTGAATTCGAACGACAGGGTAAGAAATTGTGTAATAAGAGAAGAGTGTGGTTTGCAAGATGATGTTGTGACCAGAATTAAGAAAGGAATGCTTCGGTGGTTTGGTCATGTGGAAAAAATTTATGAGGAAAGAGTGACAAAGAAAATTTATCTTGCAGAAGTGAATGGCAGAGTCGGAAAGCGACGTCCTAAATTTATCACCAAATTGGCGATTTATTGAAAACGGGCCAAATTAGGAGTACCCTTAACCGATGAGCATGTATGCGTGGGTGTGAAGGAGGTGAGAGAGGTGTGTCAGGATCGTGCCAAATGGAAGTCTGTAACCTCTGCCTACCCCTCTGGGTGACAGGCGTGAGTGTTTATGTTATGTTTATGTTCTATTACAACCGTTAACAATTTACATACTTCTGAAGTTTTCCTGTTAAGCAGAAAGTTTTGTCATAAATAACGCGTTTAAATGGGGTTCCTAATTGTAATGTACATATAAAGGAATATATTACAAAGCTACACACAAGGTTTCTCATTACATCTGCTGAGCTAACTTTAACAATGTTTATTTGAAATTCCTTAGAATTTAGCGAATTATTTGTTCCATGTTATCATTACTTTCAAGAATAAGCATATTTTTAAGCGGAGAAATTTATATTCAATGTTGATTACTTATGTAATTTCTACTGGTATCATTATTTAATTTAATCTAAAACTAATAATTACAAACCAAAAGCAGCTCAGAGCTACCGTGGCATCAGGACGTCGAAGGCGTTTGACCTTACATAAACCAAAGGTGATATACTCGAAGCATCGAGGATTAAAAACAAATAGTTACAAATTTTAAACTATTTAAACTTTACACATTTTATTGCGCGAATAAAAGCGCGAAATAATAGCATAATGCTGCTCTATATAGAATGCTGTGAATATAGGAAATGGGAAGCCCGTTCAATTTTGAAAAAAAAAATAGACATACCGGCGTATATATTAGTCTTACGCCAGCCTCAACGGCAAATCCTCACTATGATAGAAGAGATTCCAGCAGTGGAGTTTTAAATTTACAGTATTCCGGTATCCAGTTCAATATGGACTACACTAAAGGCGAGTGGATACTATGTTTGAACTCCCTTTTTGAATAAACCTGATTTATTCCTTACACACACCTTTCGGAAACCACTTAACGAGTAAGATAAATAGTTCCGGAAGGTCGTGCGTGTACCTTTGGTCAGGATGTTTTGGTTTAACAGCAATTACATCTTAAGTTCCATGTTAAGTTTTATTAGAAATAACATGGAATACCTCGTTATTAGTTAAGGGTCTGAGGGCTGCGGGTTCAAATCCCGCACGGAACTAGTATTTCTATGACCTACAAATAATTGTACCGGGTCTGGATGTGTTTCACACACCTGAGAATAAGATAGAAGGATAGCTTTAAATTAAATATCAAATTATTGCAGATTTTTTAAATAGTTTATTACATAATTACAAAATTTTGATGCAATTCTGTTATGAACATTTCGAATCATGCTGGTGAACATTGTGGACTGTATGCCTTTTTTGATTTCATGTCAATGT